TACATGTATTATAGATATTATAGTGTTAAGTGCACCTCTTCTTTTACTTTTTAAGCTGACACTTACTTCGGGTCTCCCAGAGCAAACTAGAGGTGTTGTGAGCAGTAAGCTAACTAAATGATACCCCCGTCTCCAATATGGTTATAAAAGTCCATGTTTTTCTCATGGAGACCCGAAATATGTGACAAATCAAAAAGCAAACTAGGAGGTGTACAATGGCATTATGAAACAAAGAATCTGTGAAACTGTCCTTAAATTTTATTCAGTAGTAAACATGTAGGAGGAGATGCAGATAAGAGATGGGTACCCTTCAGTATTATAGAAAAATGGCAGTGTGTATGTTTTGCTGTGGGAAACCCAAAATATGTTTCCGAACAAAAAATTGAAATAGGAGGTACACAATGGCACTGCGTAACAAAGAATCTGTGAAAGTCTCATTACATTTCATTCAGTAGTATAAAAGGAGTTGCGGATAAGAGATTAGTACCCCAAAGCGTGACGGACGGACGGACGGACAACCCGATCACTATATATACCCTCCCACTATTCAAGCGGGAGGTATAATGAAATTATGACGCCAGTTAAAAGATCGAGGTTCCCTAAATTTGCCCCCATTAAAATCAATGATTTAAGCTCCTCATTATACCCTTGCTTGAAAAGTGGGAGGTAATACGGTACACTATATAGTGATCAGGATGTCTGTCCGTAACGTCCGTCCACCCGTCTGTCCGTTACGCTTTGGGGGGTACCAATCGTGTCATTGTTCACCTTCTATTTTACTTTTTGATCTGAAACTTATTTCGGGTCTCCCAAAGAAAAAAAATGAACTTTGTCATTTTAATCATATGGGAGGCAGGGGTATCATTTAGTGAGACCATTGCTCATTGTACTTCTAGTTGCATTATGCCACTGTGACCTCCTATTTTACTTTAAGATCTGACACTTATTTCAGGTCTCCCGTGCAAAACATGAACTATGCCATTGTAACATAATGGAAGGCGGGGGTATCATTCAGTGAGCTCACTGCTCATAGAACTTCTAGTTTAATACTGGGTTAGTGGGAGGACACTTTACTGACTTGTCCCCTGTATGGTGTTTTCCTTAACCCTTCATATCGACCACATGGCCACCACATGATTAAATTGCAGAAGCAAACATCATTGATTAATTTTAGTCAATAATTCCTACTGCACTTATTATTTTGGTTTAACGTTAAACAAAGCTTTCAATAAACTAGAGGTGCTGTGAGCAATGGGCTCACTAAATGATACCCCCCGCTTCCCATATGTGTATAAATGACAGTGTCCATGTTTTGCTCTGGGAAACCCAAAATATGTGTCGGATCAAAAAGTAAAATAGGAGGTGCACAATGGCAATATGTAATAAAGGTTCTGTGAAAGTTTCGTCAAATTTCATTCAGTGGTATAAGAGGAGTTGCGGATAAGAGATGGGTACCCCAAAGCGTAACAGACGGACGGACGGACGTACAGACGGACGGACGGACGGAATTAACGATTACTATATACCCTCCCGCTTTTCAAGCGGGGGGTATAATCAAGAATCTTGCTGAGAATTAGTGAGGAGTAATGTTTTGAAATAATTTTTTTTAGTTACCACAATGTTCAACAAAATCAGAACCTGATAACAGATATACAGAATATTGAATACAAGTATAGTTTACTTGGTACCAGGTATCAATAACAAAAAATAGGGTGTTGCTAAAACGCGCAACGGAAAACGGAACGGAAAGCGGAACGGAACGGAAAACGGAATATATTATTTTATATTAAATCAATTAAAATACATAATTTTTATCATAAACGATATGTTTTATTGATATGAAATCCTCTTTTATTAAAAACAGGTTATTAAGTCATTTTCAGTCTCTTATACACGAAAATCGCTGACATAGCAATGACGTAGAATCGAATTTGAAAGTGTGTGTGTAGGGGCCCCCTACATTAAACTTATTTCAAAAGAGTTTGAAAAGCAAAAAATACAAAAGACAATTTTGTTCGGGGGAGGGGGGGGGGGGGTATGTTCAACGTCCAACATCTTTCAGTACTTTTTTTTTTTTTACACAATCTTACTACATGAATTGCATTAATAAAAACTGTTGGGTTTCAATGAACATTTCAACAGTAAAAAGGTCTGGAGCTAATGTCAAAAGGGGAGGGGCGGACCATTTGCAACTTTTCAGACCTTTCCGAAGAGTGAAAAAATAATCTCAAATGTTTCATCATTCATATCAACCCTCCCCCCTCCCCTTACACACGCACACATGTACCACATACAAAGTATTAACTTCACAAAATGTAAAGATGCTGCATTTTTAACACAGAAAAGTTTTCCAACTATATTTATCCAGAATTTTAATATATAGGAAGATTTTGTATAAAATTTAGAGAACAAACGAACTTTACATATTAGAGGTGTTTATCCGAGTTTGCCGGAAAGGTCTGCTCTAATCGTAATCTTAGGAATTTTTTAAAACATTTTCATTCTCAATAAACATGATCTAGATTTAAATATTTGCCCCCCCCTTTCAGACATAACCTTTTTACTATAGAAATGTTTATTGAAAACTCCACACTTTGTTAATTAGTAGTAAGTAGTTAGTAAGTGTACAAAAAATGTATTGAAAGGCATTGGAGTAAGAACTGATCCCCCCCCCCCCCCGGAATCATAAATTTGTGGGTTTTTTCGCTTGTCAAATTCTTTTCAGATAAGTTTACCCCCCTCCCCCTCTCACATACATACACGCACACAAGAACTTTCAAATTCAATTCTATGTCACTGCTACGTACGTCAGCAATTTTCGTGAATGATTAATATGGAGATATCGAACAGTATTCAATATCAAAAGTCTATAAAACAATAAAAAATAGGATGAAGAGAGCAAACACGGACCTCCAAAACATCAGATATTGAACAGGTGCCATGGAGGAGTGAGCATCCCCTGCGGACCGGTCACACCCGCCGTGTACTCTTTGTCATGATCGGGAAATAACGAAAAAATCCGTCGTCAATTCAGTGTATACATAATGAACTACATGTAACAATTAGTATGAAAAACGTCAGTCAGCATTTGACTCCATGATAAATTGTATTTGCTGATAAAGTCATTGTATCGAACATAGAACTTACGAAATGATAACTTTAAACGAGACTAATGATATTCTTGTTTCATCAACTTGTTTGTCAATAAAAAAAAGTGCTGAACATGACTAAATCAACTTATTTTTGATAATAGGGAATTGAATGTGTTTAAAATATATTTCTTATGACAAAATTTGTGTATTTTAAGTGATTTAATCTAAAATAATATATTCCGTTTTCCGTTCCGTTCCGCTTTCCGTTCCGTTTTCCGTTCCGCGTTTTAGCAACACCCCAAAAAATAAACACCGACAGCTTTCTGCTTTGATTAATAAACTTTTTAAATATTTAAGGCAAAAACGTAGCGCCGTAGATTTCATTTCGGATGAAACATTTTAGCGATTCAGACGGCGTCGGCGTCTTTAACAACGCGACCAAGACATTTTGTTAAATGATTATCTAAAAATGCTGCAAAAAGTGTGGATTGCTGAGTACATATGCAACTTCTGCCAACGTCTCAAAAGAAAGTGTAAGTTTTTTGATCGAATTATTGGCTGCATACTTTCTTCGTTATTTAATAAAACAGGGGCGGATCCACAGGCACTTGTTTCGTATACTGGATACCCCCTACCTATATCTACCAATATAGGCAGGGGGTACCCAGTATACGAAACAAGTGCCTCTGGGAGGATCTATGATATTTGGTGGACTATGAGTATGAATATTAGTGGCAGAACTGTAGCGGCCTCTTAGTCTTTGTTATGGTCAAGGACTGCAGGAATTTGGCTATGTATCCTTTCCAACCCTGTGATGTCAAGTTCATTTCAGACACAAGTGCTCGTGGACAGGATTATCTCTACCCACCCCCTTTCAATATTAATTTTTAAAAAAATCTTATTTTTTTTCATTTCTAATCTCTGACAACTTATTCTTGTATACGCGTATGTGAATAAAAATTGCATATGATTGATATATTTATGTGATTTTCAAATAGAAACATATAGATAAGTTGTCAGAGAAAAATACTATTATTTTTATGTTGAAAAGGGGGGAGGGTAGGGATACGTATGTCTACGAACACCTGTGATTTCAAGTAGTATGATGGATCATATCTCAAAATTATTTACAAAAAAATTCAAAACTTAGTGGAAAAAAACAAGCATGACTTAATTGTTTCATACGAATAGGCAAATAAACTGTAAATGTTTCATTTAGTCAGAAACCAGACGCTAATAAGAAATCCCTTCTTTAGGGCACCGCAAAGCGGAGCGTCCACTTAAAGAGCATCAGCATTTGACATCGATCCGGATGCAAATTACGTCACTCTGGTCTGTATCGCACATAGGCAATAACATTACATTTTGCAATAAACCCACACTCACATACGCACCCTGACAAGCACATTATTGTGTTCCCTCCAAATCATCTGCTAGGGGATAATAAGAAGAGGTGATGGTAGTAAAATGCTATAATATTGAACATATCAAAAATGCATGTACGTATTTTCACAATGAAAACCTATAATTGATGTTAAAGAATGGTAATTTTTCCAGAACTTCTCAATAGTTTTCATGAATGAAACCAAACCACACAGGCAAAGTACATGGATATATCATAGCTAAAAAATAAAATTTCATATGGTTGACACTTGTCTTGTATCTTGTATCTTGTACATTTAATCCAAGGGGATTATTCAGGAGCATTAATGATTTTAATAAGCATCATTTGTTTTGGGGTTGTTTTTAAAGATTGTAATCAGTTCTTGATGTCGTGCAATTTTTTTTTTTCTTTTTCGAATAGGAAATGGCACTTGCAGAAAATCTTAACCGTGCAATTATAAGCGGAGATCTTCCGCAAGTACAGAAACTGGTTAAAGAAGGTGCAGCAATGGATTTCCTATTGGGTATGCGTGGAACAGCATTGTGTGCTGCTCTGTCAGCAAACCAAAGCAGCATCGCCCAATTCCTCATCGAAGCGGGGTGTGGAGTTAATGTAGAAGACTACGATAAAGAGCCACTGATTTTCCTGGCGATCAGCAAGAAATGTTTCGATGTGGTACACAAACTGACGCAGCATCCCAAATGTAACCTAAACAAGTACGACCCACTTACCAACGTATCACCACTAGCTCTTGCCGTCAAAAACAACCACCAAAATGTCATCAGGTGGTTCATACAGGCTGGGGCGGATCTCAATGTGACGGACCACGCTGACAATACTGCTTTACATATTGCAATATGTGATCGGAATTACGAAGTGATGAAAATGTTAGTTAAAGGTGGCTGTGATTTGTTGAAGAATGACTCGAATGGAAAATATCCGATGCATCTGATTGCCAGTAAAGGGGATATCAGGGCTATGAGAATTTTATTACAAAACTGGGTAGAGGAAACAGACACAATATCGACGGTATTTTCTAATTATCCCTTTTCTTCCAAAATGGATAGGGAGTATGTTAGCCAGGTTCTGAATAAAGCGACCAAAGCCGGCCAAAGCACCAGCACTCCTTTACATTTTGCGATTTCAAATGGTCACAACGCAGTGACCAAATACCTGCTCAGGTACGGTGCGTCACCCAATGAAACCGACGACAACTTAACGGAATCCCCTCTTCTCGCAGCTATATACTCCATGTCCTCCCACGTCGGTCAGATTGACGGTACTACAGTGTCATGGCTGTTACAGGCTGGGGCTAACCCCAATGCTTGTGGTAAATTGACGTCATCAGCTTCTGTATATTCTTACATTGAGACTCCCGTAATGCTCGCATGTCGTTTAAATAATGTTGAAGCCCTTGACATTCTACTATCTCATGGTGCAAAAATGGATATAAGAAACGATGAAATTGGACATGTCAGCAGAAAGAGTCTTCTCTCTATTTCTTTTTCACACAATGCCATTGAAACTGCACGTTTTCTCATCAATGGATGCGGTGTATTGGATGCCAAAGATAACGTCAGTAATTCGGAACCAGATGAAAACTTACTGATGGCTCTAGGAGACATGTATCACCCAGAAGTAGAAGAGTTTGCTAAAGCTGTGATTACCAATGATAATCCGGGTGAATCAGACCTACAGGAATCTCTTATCAATTCTATTATGAAAAACAACATCCATCTTGCTGTTCCCTTGTTACAGCATGGAGTGGACGCCAATAACGTGAACTCAGATGGCTACTGTGCCATTCATCACTGTGTCAAATTCGCAAATAAAGACTTTTTACTGAAACTTCTGCAAAACGGGTCTGATATCAATATAACAACCGCTGATGGACTGAGCCCCTTAGAAATGTGTTTGGAATATTTTGACGAAGACCACTTGGACATGACGTATTTTCTGATTGAGGCAGGATGTGTTATTCCAAATAAGTTTCAACTTTATCCCGAGGATGAGAGTGACGACAGTGAATCTGAATCAGATGAGGAGTGTGATACGTTTTTCGATGACGCTGATTATCCTGCAGCCTTCATGGAGGACAAGCACCTGCGAACTATTGTGACGTCATTGCAGAATCACCCACAGCCACTTCTACAGCGATGTCTCCACGTGTTACGCATGCACTTTGCGCACAACCACCTGCCATTTATTTCCATGAGACGACTTCCATTACCTAGAAAACTTTTAGATATGCTTATGTTTGAAACTTTCCAAAAGAGTTTTAGAATTTCTTAGATTTTGGTTGCTTTTTGCTGTGTTCTATTTAAGATATTTTTTATTACAATAAAGAGTGTTGTTTTAAAGGTTACCATACTTTCTGCATTTTAGACGTTTCAGGTTTGGAATATCGCATTAATATATCTATACTTTGCTACTTTTTTGGGGTAATCTTTTTTGGTTAATTTCACGCGGTGTTCACCAAACAAAAAAGAAAGGATTGCGATTGCAGTACAATTTGGCCATATGTTTTTTTTATTTGGTATTGTGAGAAATCAAAAACTCATACTTTCTAAATTCTTAGTACGATTCTCAGCTAAGTTTGGCCTTTCTTGAGGCTACTTGTTTACCGCCTGTCAAATGGTGACGTAGATTCTCATTGGTTGCAACAGCGATGTAGCAGATGACTAGCCCCACCTATGAGCTTCCTGTTTTTTACACTCGATGACACATGCGTTAGATTTTATCACATGTATTTTGATGTATATTACTCCTAGGTGAAAAGCAATTGTAAAATTTAGTCAGAATAATGCTTTCGATCTTATGTAATTTGACCGATTCTAATAATAAAATGGTGATTAGCTAATCTGGCGTGCAACCAATGAAAATCTACGTCACAATTTGACAGACGATAAACATGTAGCGTCGAGAAAGTTACGCCCTACTGAAAGGCCAAGCTTAATTGAGAATTGTGCTAAAAATCCACAGAGTAAGATCATAGGAATTCTTATATGACCTTGTAATTACCAATATTTTCAATACGTTACTTCTCCTACATCTTAGTCTGATTTCAATATAACATGACACATGACGCACACGTAGACCACACTGAGGTCCATAATTCGGTGTAAAAGGTTTTGATTTCAAAGAATGTTGTTTATGTGAAAAACTTTCAAAACACTACACTTCTACAGTTTTGGTCTGATTTCTATATAACTTGGCACAAAAGTAGACTACAGTCAGCTATACATAATTCTTTTTATAGGTTTTTGATTTCTATAAACGATGTCGCCATGGTTGCTATAATTTCTGTGAAATACTTTTAAAAGTCTTCTATTCCTGTAGTAATAGTCTGTTCGCAATCTTGCCACAAACAGAGGTTAAATCAAAGATAATTATTCTATTGATTTCTGTTGTTTCAAGTCCAACAGCTACTTTTCTCTTCCTTTATTTTAAATACAAACCAGTAGAGCTACGGTCTCAATAGAGACTTCTGTTTTGAAAAAGTTGCAGCAATTTTCTTAAATAACGTATAGACCACATGCATCGCCCGCAAAAATTCTAAGATTAGTGATTTCTCAAAGACTTTTACACAGCATATCGAAATATTGAAGTGGGCGATCTAGCTGTTGATCACAGGCATCTGACGTTGCATTTTTTTTCTTTTTACCGCATACCTGATAGATATTATAAGGTAAGGAGTTATATCTGAGGACTCCATTTTCTAAAAAAGAAACTTTTTAAAAATATCATTTTTTTAGGGCATAACAAAGCCAAAATCAAACCTTCCTTCTGTCCAAGTATTTTAAAATCTGAGATTGATTAAATTACTAGTATCATAACGTAATGCTACCATAATTTTCAACACCATTGAATCACCGAAACATGTGTTCCAGAGCTATTGTCTGATATCATCTTGTCGGCTTTATAACTTCATTCTAATTAATGTAAGAAACAAGGAAGAAACTAACTCAAATTCCGTGTTTCTAGGGTATATGCATGCACGTTTTGCTCGGGGCTAAATGTTCGTGTATTATTTAAAAAAAAAAAAACAAGGATGTATATTTTTAAAATTCTGTCATGATTTTATTAGACAAGAAAAGAAAAAAATGGTTTTTAAAATCTTATGTAAAATCTCAAATTGTTTTATTAAATGAAATTGTATATCATATTGCTTTTGTTTTGGATGTGTTAAATGTAGAAGACTGCAAGCTTTTATACTTCAACAATTTTCTACGCGAGTTTTACTAATCATATAAATCATTCATGTGGATAAATTTATATAAATGAATGTTCATATTTTTTTTATTTTAATTAACCATCAGCAAGTAATATATCAATTTGAGAAAAAAGAGATAAAACTGTGCTAAGAATATATATTTGTAGTAATAATATTAACGCTTATTACGTATCCCCACCCCGGGCGGTGGTACCGACACGTTCACCTTACATGGTGTACCAGTCCATTTACTGATATCAAAGTCACTGGTAAACCGAGAATATGAGGACGAATTACGGAATTTTAGCTTTTTTCCTCCTTATCGTTTGCGTTTATTCCGAAATATACACATCGATACAAAGATTGACAGCTTTAGCAGAAATAGAAAGTAAATTGTTCGAGAATTTTGAGACTTTTATTCAAAGAGCTGAGGCCACAGAAGTGACGCTTCCTAAAAATGTCACCAGGTAAGTCGGGTAAAATAATTTATCACTTGAATAAAATAACTCCATAATTATTCACAGACAAGAAAAATCATCATGATGAAATTCTGTAAGATTTCATCAATTGTGTATTTCCAGTTTTTCCTGATAATTTGGATTTTCATCTTCGGAATGCTAATATTTTCTGTCAACCATATTAAATCACTGTTTTCTGCAGGACAGCCCAGTTGTTCTGTTGCATTTCTAAAGTAACGCGGGGAGGGGGGGTTGTCGTTGTTTAACTGAGATGAGACTTACTGGAATTTATAATTCAAAAATGTCGAGACATGTTTCCATAATTATGTCCTAGGCACTTATATACCATTTTTTTAATTCTGTGGGTAGTCTGTAATGAAAAAAAGAATATATTACTGATCAGACATGTAGCTGCTTAAAGGTTTATGGACCATATGACTAAAAATTAAATTTGACCTTTGATTTTCTTCCAAATTCGATTCTAGTATGCCGAGAAACTTCAAATTAAGAAGCGAATCAAAGGTCCATTTTGATCTCTATGTAGTCTTAGTGTATATGTACGTACTCGACAATTATATTCCTGATTCACTTCATAACTAGAGGTACTGTGAGCGATGAGCTCACTAAATGATACCCCCCGCCTCCCATATGGTTATAACTGGTGAAAAAGTCCATGTTTTCCTGTGGCCGGGAAACCCAAAATATGTGTCGTATCAAAAAGTAAAATAGGAGGTGCACAATGGCAACATGTAATAAAGATTCTGTGAAAGTTTCATCAAATTTCATTCAGTGGTATGAGAGGAGTTGCGGATAAGAGATGGGTACCCCAAAGCGTAACAGACGGACGGACAGACGGACGGACGGACGTACAGACGGACGGACGGACGGACGGACGGAAATACCGATTACTATATACCCCCACTTTTCAAGCGGGGGGTATAATAAATCATACAAACAAACTTCCTTGCGGAAGGCTGAAAAGATATTTCTTAAATTTCCTGTTGTTCACCTAAATTGCAGAGGCAGAAGCAAACATCATTAATTAATTTTAATCAATGATTCATGCTGCACATATTATTTTGGTTCGCCATTAAACAAAGCTTTCAATAAATACATCAAATACAAATCAAACAATATTTCCTTACGGAAGGCTGAGAAGATAGTTTTTAAACTTCCTGTTGTGTTAAAAAGTACTTGTGTTTTCCCAAGGCTTAAAGGTACATCGACATGTGTTCACAGCAAATCAGTGTTAAGGGCGACTTTAAATTGTAACACTTAGCTTACTTGAGGCCAGCAGGATCAGGAGATGGTATAATTAATGGTGGTTTAAATGGAGGAATTGAAAATAGTCTCTATACCTCTTACTAGGATTTTGTCTTCTCAAATTGCACAAAACAGAGAACTGGCTATGGTGGTTCTAAATGCTCTTGTTCTGAGTCATATTATGGGTGATCTTTGTTAGAACAATAATGGAGCAGCGATTGTTTACGAAGTTATTGAAACAAAATTGGTTGTTTTTCCTCTGTGTTGCGTGTGTTGTGAATTTTACTAGTAAGTAAACACATATATTGAAATTATGTTCTTTTTAGAGCATTTAAATACATGTATTTCACTATTTATTAAAGAAAGATGAATACTAGAATTTAGATTAATTTCCAATTCTATCGAGTAAATTTAAGAATGAGATCTACCTGCTTTAACTGCTTCAATTAAATTACGATTTTCTGACAATTTTTTTCGGTATAGATGACATGCTTTAATATACATGACATGTTTATAGCTTTCCTTCATTATAACATTCTTTGACATAAATAATCCAAACATTTCAGTATCGCACTTAAAAACTAAGATTTCAGTGAAAATCAGAGTATTGAAAAGCTTTGTTTTGAACATATTTTATTGACAATATGTCAGAGGGATTGGACACAAGTTCCAAAAACTTAGATAGTCCTCTCCCATACATAAAATCTGGATAGCCATACATTTACAAAGTATTACAATAAAATATACATGTACATAGAAAAACAAAAACAATTGTCTTATGAATAATGAAATAACTTCTGCCATATGAAAAATACTTGTGAGGCTTATCATTATTGAAAAGTACATATATTAAATTAAATAATACATTATATAGCTGTTTCTGATAAATATCTTGATCTTAAAATTGATCTAAATATCTGATCCGACATGATAATAAATATCTTTTAATCGTCCTTAAATAGCCCATTGTTTTTGAATCGATTGTTCTTGGTTCATGAAAACACGTGTAAATATACTGCAAACTGATGTATTTCTGCTTATTTGAATAGATTTCAATGTAAATTTCGTTTAATTCCCCTAGTACCCGAGTTAAAAATGATTAAACTTAATAAGCTGTATCAACACAATTTTTCTTACAAAGGATCTATTTTGTTAGTAACTTTATTTTAATACGTAATCCATTGTCAATGTTCTGATAATTTAAGACGGAAATGGCGAAGCTTGCGGAACTATTGACGGTGGAACTCAGTTATTCTGCCCCAGCAGCTACCACTGCTGTAGCACGGCGGAGCACTCCTGTTGTCAGGAAGGGTACAGTTGTCACGGCTCCAACTGTATCAGCTTCATCGCGTAAGTTTTATTATTATACTTTCATGTTAAATACTAAAATCTGATTGGTTTAGACGCAGTTAACAATCCGTTCGATTACCCTGAGCCTTAGCAACACACGTGACAACGGGTAACACAACGGTAATGCCACATGCGTGGAAATTATGCGCGTACGGTTCACCGTAGAATTCTCAAAACGTCAGTTGCGCGTTTGAAAGAACCGGAATTAACTTGACATCAATAAAAGCTTGCGTCCGATATAGCTTACTTGAAAACAACAAACTACAGACGATACATGCTTGCGAGTGTAGGAAACATGCTTGCGAGCCAGAAATAACGGAACTTTATATGATAAATGACTCTAATTTGAGTATCAAACAAACAATAAGGAGATTGGTGAACCGGTGAGTGTGAAAGCTTTCTTTACATGAACGTAAAGACGATCGACGGTTATTTTTTGCTGACGTCCTAAATCAATAAGACATTCAGTATAATAAAATAAATGGTGCCTGTTTTGGAGGGTAACATTTGAAATTGACACCCCTCGGAAAACCATTGTCAACCTCCGCTGACGCGTCGGTTGACAATGGTTTTCCTTGGGGTGTCAATTTCAAATGTTACCCTCCAAAACAGGCACCATTTATATACTAGTTCATGCTCAGTATTTTTATAACTTTTCTTAGTTATAGAACCGCAATATGTTTTACCCAGTATTTTTATGCCTATATCCGCGATTAAGTTATTATCCAGTATTAGTATAATGACTTGTACATATCTGATATTATTATTAATTTTATTCATAAAGCATGTCATTTTTTATCGGTAAGGTGGCTGATGAATGTTTACTGATTATTTTGCTTGTGAAATAAAGTGATTTAATAAGCGTGTTATTCCTTTCAGTGTATTTGTGATACCTAGTGTTGTCTCATTTGTAATTATAGTCACAGTCATCGCTAAACTCATCAAGAAAAGTAAGTATGAATAATTTATATTTACTTTATTTACCTAAACATGCATACTGGTATTATTAATATCACTTATTTAAGTTTTTAAATATGAATATGGCATGCATTGTTACAACGCACTTTGAAAAATTACGCACTTTGAAAAAAAAAAAATCAAAGTGCGTTAAATTTGGGACCAAATCAACGCACTTTGAAAAAATAAAATTTCTTTTCAAAGTGCGTTGATATCGACCATACTAACGCACTTTGAAAAAAATGTGTATGGCTTGGTCAATATTCTTGAAAATCTTGAAAATCTTAGGTATGAAAAATAATTGATTCTGTTGGAAAACTTTTTGGTGATTAGGTTACTTCAGGATGTGAAAGTGATTGATTTTGATTGTGAAAGTGAGTGATTTTTATTTTTCCATACTTCGAAAATTCTTTCTCTCTTAAATGTTTTACTGTACTTTATTCTTTTTCCAGTTTGCGGGGGGGGGGGGGGGGTAGTCACACAAATGTTTTGCAAATACATCGTTGGGGGGGGGGGGTTCCACTTTCAATTTGCTTCTGACGGCTATGAATAAGAAAAAAAGAAGTTTGACTGAGCGACCTTCTACACGTATATACTCATCTTCTCCATGTTTTCAATGAGGGTGAATCAATACATGTAAATTAAAACGTTTTATGAAAGATATATTTATTACAAATTGATTCTCTCTATTACTAAAATCTTAGTCTACAATTTTTGTTTTTATACATATTTTTTCACATGGTAAAAAATGTTGATGTACACTCTTAACGCTCTTTGAAAAAAAATTTCAAAGTGCGTTGAGTGTGTCCCAAATTTAAGGAAGGTCCATACTTTTACGGATCCGGTTTTAATTTTACACACCCAATATCAAATTCTGATTATCACATTTTTATTAAAATAAAATATTTTGGAAGCTTGAAAATAATTTAGTAAATATATATTTATTAATTATAGTGTCAATTTGCATACAAAGCATTTAACATATACTATTTATGGAAATTTAAAACACCTTACACTGTCCATAGGATTTATATGTTTTTAGCACATACACAGACACAAAATTCTTAATTGCCTTTATGAACTTAAAGCTTTCTTATCTTTTTTTAAACAAACTAACTTGAGATCTATTTTTATAGATTTTGAGCCTATATCATCTTTTTAAATTTTACTTTCTTTTAAAGTTTGCAAAAATGATTGAAAAACTTGATATTCCAAAAATGGGGGTATACGTGTTCAAAGGGCTGTTTTGTTAAATTTTTCTGGTCAATCATAATAAAGTCTGTGTTTTTGTTAACCTTAGATATAATTCTTACTAATTCTAAAGAAAAAATGGCATGTAAACAGTTTAGAATTAGAGAATTATTAAAAATAAAGATATTTTGAGATTTTATTCATAAAGACGTGAACAGTTTCAACATCAATTTGTTACTGTTTTCCAGGAAAGATTTCAAATATTCTCCTGACAAATGAATTTTTTTTTGTTTCAACAAGTTTTAATATAAATTTGATGTGATTTGGTGCATAGCTAAATAAGATATGATACCACACTTCCTTATGCTTAATTTTGGCTGTTGAATTTTAGAGGTATGTACTCTGAGACATGTTGTATGAAAATGAACCTGCAAATATCTGTCTTTTATGGTTGTTTTAGCTAGTTCATAAGTTATTCAAGATATTCAAGTTAAAAAATTATCAGTTTGATAGAAAATTTTGAAAGTACGGACCTACCTTAACGCACTTTGAAAAAAAAATTTCAAAGTGCGTTGATTTTGTCCCAATTTTAAAGCACTTTGAAAATTTTTTTCAAAGTGCGTAATTTTTTCAAAGTGCGTTGCCACAATGCATATATAATTTTAAAAATTTCATCCCTTTAAAATCTTTGTCAATTTGCTGCGTCTCGGTTGACAATTCTTTTTCTCGGGGTGAAAAATTTTAATGATAATTCTTAAGTAACATTACTTTTTACTGTAGTCACACAAACCGTGAAGCGTTAGGCATGCATTTTACAGCTTGTAAAATATCTTTGAAACATTCCCCCTCATTAAGTAAAGTTTCCCAGTCTAGATAAAATCTCACTGGAGGAGATGACGGGTAATGTAATTTTTTTTCAGTGGTGTCTCTTTCAATTAGACTTATCTAAAGTGCATGGAAGTTTAATAAAGACACAAATAAGTAATAATTCTAAAAGCCACCTCTCTCATTTTTTCCGGCAGTATCTCTGGAGAATCACTAAACAACTTGATACCCTGATAAATTAAGTATTTTAAATGTAACTCAGAATATTTAAACTACATAAAATAATGTCAATATTGATAATGTATAGTTTTATTACAGAAAATAAATACATTAAATTGTAACGGTTGGAAGAGCTTGTGTTTTGAATGGCCATATACATACGTTGGTTGATATTGGTGTAGAGTAACCTTTTTTCCTCTTTAAAGTACCGAGTGTACACTGTAGTGCAAATATAAACGAAACGCCCGTATAAGAAAATGGTAATCTTAAAACGTACAGTTTAAAACAAATGACGAGTACAAAAAGTACTTCTAATATTTCTTCAGTTAACAACCATTCTTCCTGTCATTCTTGAACATTATCGAATGCAGGAAGATACCTTGAGATAACTATAGATATTGCTACTGCTAGTGTCCATATTCTGATTGTCATATTTATTGTGTACTAGTATTAAAATGATATTCAACTGAATGAAACACTGAGAGTAATACAGTCATGTACATTAATGATATCTGTTTTATTGTAGGAAATGTAATAAATACACGTGTCTGTCGACCAGGACTCACATCAGTGGAGTATCCGGGAAATCTCCCTGCTTGTAACTATTGCCAACCAGAGTCGTGTTCTTTTCTTCAGTATTTTTACTCAGCAGTAAAAACAGGAATTATTAATTGTAGAATAAAAAATATTTTTGGAAAATATACAAAACGAGTGTTTAACAAAACCAGATGGATTAATACAAACATTGAACAGTGTCAAATTAATTAAAGAGGATTTGTTTGACCTGATTGTGGCAGTTTTCCTTAGATCTTACATTATTTTACTGTCAAAGTAAAGTTTACTTTAATACATATATTTCGAAATAAATCTACTGCTTTTGTTGTATATATATATGCATATATATAAGTTATTATGAACATTACGTAATTATATTATATAATTATGAATATATGTTTCAACTTTTAATCTTGAACCATCAAGTACATGTAAGTATAATAAGAGGTTATCTGTACAATGCTATATCAACATAACTCTGTCATCCCTTCTATGAACCAGAACCCAGTAGATGTATAATTTTTATATAACTCCATGAACCTAAATGCCAACTTCAGTAGTAAAAAACATCTAAAACTGGTTACAAAAGTACATTTAAAATGGTTTGTAAAAAAAAACCAAACTACATCATACATGAATCTATTTGTACATGTGAATATTGTGATATTATGTTAGTTTGAGTACCGAAAGTAGTTAATCATAAATTCCTGTGTAGACTCTAAACCTTTCCTTTAAAGGTAACAGAGAATATAAGAAACCCATTCAAATATTTCAAATGTAACGTCTATATTACCGCATATTTGAGTTCATCTCACAATATGCGCCGTTATCAAAGCTCTATCCTTTTATTATATGTCATCATTCACCTCCTTTTTGTGGGAAAAAACTAATAAATGTGATAAGCCGGAATTTATTTATCCATCCATACAGTGTCGGTAATTAGTCACTAGGTTTACGGGTTATCTCCCCTATTCTATGCATCAATGAAAGTGAAAGGTGGGTGATGAAAGTATCCGATTTATGTTTTTGTTTTATGAAATATTTTATAATAATTTCCAGTTTTTAAAGTTAAGTTTCAGTCAGAGAAGTAAATTCAGATTATCTTATTAACATTGATATTGCTCGATGGCAAGTATTTTATTGGATTGAAACAGATCGATTTGCCACCCGTCCATGCTTTAAACACTGACACATGGTACAAGATTACAATGTGGTAAAATAATAACCAACTTCATCGGCAGACTTTGAATGAATTAAAACTTACTAAGTGAAATAATATATGAACAAAATGAGCTAATGTAAAAATAGGTATGAACTTCAACTTTATTCGGTCCATTTTATTCAAGGTCATTTGCCAATAAACATCCGTACACATGGTGGCCTATGTTTAGTTACTTAGATCCCTTAGCCTATCTTTAGGGGATTTAAAAATGGGAATATCCATAATTATAATTCTTATAGTATGAGTATGCTTTTGTAACTTTGGGTTTGGTGCATTTATCAGTTTATTTAAAATATCCAGTGATTTTTAAAAAATAAATAAATAAATAAATAAATAAATAAATGTTCAAGGATAGGGTTACCCTAGCTGTGCCATACCAGTCTACCTTTTGTCCTAAACACAGTGAATAAAAAATAAAAATACAGATTGAGAAGTAATAAAAGTTTGAAAATCTTTAGAAATGTTTTTTATAGTTAGATTCACAAAGGGACATAACTCTAATTAAAGTATATAAATTTCAATCAAGGCCATTCAACTTTAACAAGGGTCCAAAGAGAGGCATGAAAGATATGCAGTTGCAACAAAGGCAGTAATCAATTGTGAAATAAAATAGTTTGAAGTAAAGTACATAACAAGTTTTGGTGCTTTTGAATGTAGCATTACAATGATGCATTTTATGATATGAATGAAACATCAAGTAAGATGTGTATTTGTTTAGACATATTTACAGTTGTACACATGCTATATGACAAAACTCAAGGTAAGTAAATATGAATGATGACTAAAAAAGTAAATAGATTTTGAGTCAAAAAATTCAGTTGGATGGAAGCATTACAATCAACAATTCAGGCTGTAAAATCTGGGAGGCATACCCGGCATAGGTAACATGCACCAGAGTTGAATTGTACATTGTCTGTCAAATCCACATAATGATAATATATTAGGACCAGCAGCATCCTCGCCTATTCGGATATCACTTCTCTTAAGGGGCTTGATAGGGAGGGCAACTTCAGATTCAACAAGAACAATAACAAATTGTGGGCATAGTAATTTAGGACCTCAATGGTTCATTAGTAACAGTTGATATAAATAGGATTCCCCTAATTTTATTTTAATTAACTACATGTAATATCTAGCAAGGCTAGCTACTATTTTGCGGGTTAATATATATCAAAGGGTTCAGATTAAGTAAGATGGGGCGAAGGTCATGTTTCGCAAGTTATATTCTGTGTTGTCATTTTGTTCAATGGGGTAGTTAAAATTATACATAAAGGAAATAAAAGAAGGCCATGCTGTTCGTTCCTTGGAAGCCGTCTCCAGTGTACATGAGCATAATCATGAATTTCTCTAACAGCGCCTTTACCTTAATTGAGAAGGTTTGATGATAACACAATATAAACACCTACATTTAAAGGGGCTGGGTGGTTGTGGCCATTTTTAGACTATTTGGATCTCCTTTAGAAGAAGAGCTCAATAAAGATATAACTGATCAAATTTTAAAGCTAACATTTATGAAATTTATCTTTGCCAAATAATAGTTGACAGCTTAAGATATCATATCCCAAAATTTAAATTATATCTGGTGGTTAATAATTGTTGACCCCCTAGCCTCCTTAAAGTCTTCTCACCCATTAACAGCATAAAGGCCTTGTATCTTATAAAGTTGTGTTTAGTAAATGAAAAGTTTTGTACCATCTTAAGACAATAAGTTAACATAAAAAATCAGGTAAACTTGTTTTACTAATTTATTATATATAGATTATTTCACAAATGTTGATTATTTACACAGAGATTAATTTCAGCATGGGCTTTTATTTCCTGACAATGTTCTAAAACCATGGGTCTAGTCACTTGTTTAATATTTATACAAGAAGAGAACTTTGGGTATTGAAATACAATTCTACAAATAAAAGACTATAAAAAGAAGTTTAATAATAATAATTTATAGGCTAATTGAAGCACTGTGAAATAAATAAATTGTCAAGAGTATTAGGAAATTAACATACTTAACATTTATTCCTTAGAGTTATCTTTCTCATTGGGGAAAGTGAACTTTAAAATAGGAATTGCAACTCAAATTTCCTGAACTTTTACCAATTTTACTCGTCATTCAATTTGGCATTGGGAAGAGGGACAATTCACAGAGTTCTTCAGGTGCTACACAGAGTCAATGCATATGCAGGCTCATTTGAACACAGCTCACAGTGCTGGTACTTTCTATGTATTTTCCTAATATGGCATATGCTGTATGAATGGTCGTGCAACAATAATAAATAAATCAATAAATAAATAAAATAGAAAGGGCTATAATTAGACTTATAAGGTTCATATCGGGGCTTTTTGTCAGTGTTGGTTTCTGCTGTGTCTCTAAGTTCACACAGATAAAAGTTGCTTTAGTTAAAATTCTATATTCACAGTTTTTAAACTCGCAAAGGGTAAATTGTTTAGGTAACTAGTTTTCTTTATCACTAATAAGCACTAAAGGCGAGATAACCTAACTACCTAACAGTGCGGGGATGGGGGTGGGGTGGGGGGGGGGGGTGTTAACACATATTGTTCCACAGGCTAGGTTACAATCCAAACCATTTCCTATAATATTTTCTTTTTAATAGTATGTGCTTACTGTTGGAAATTAAGACATGCATATCTCAGGGGGCGTTTTCCCATTGAAAATATCAGTTCAAACCCAGGTGCCATTTGCATGTAATATGATAGGTGTTTATCTCTCATCTGAGCAGTTACATGTAGCATAATTATTTTATGTTACTTTACACATTTATCACATATGGGATTAAGATGCATTAGTCGGTGCATATATATGTACATGCAATTTTCATCCATGCATTAGCTAGTGGGTACAAATACAGGTTAGCTAAGGGATACAAATACAAATCCACATGTGTGTAGGGGTTACAAGATTCATAGTATTAAGATTAGATAAAATTCTCCAGCATTTTAGGGTATTAGATATAGGTTAGGTTTCCACTGACTAAGCATATTAATTTTTATGCTCTCTATCATATATCCATTTTCTACAGCCTTAAAAATATTTTGAAGTCTATTATTTAAATAATCTATACCATAACATATTTTTGCGGGGGGGGGGGGGGGGGGGGGGAGCTTTAGGTGTGAAAAGATCATGCATTTTTGATTTTTTGATAGAGCATCAGCTGGGAAGGGGTTTAAAATAAAGGATTTAGTCAAGTGTGCCTTCAGTGTCTGCTCCAGTCCAACTACTTTTACAAATGAGCTGTAAATACAAATACAGTCCTCCATTGTGTGTCTTGGTTTGAAAGTTACTACTTATTATATACAAGATTTAATCAATTTTAAATGGTGCTTTGAAGAGTTCGCTTTCAAAATGAGTGGTACATGTATATAAAACATTCCCTCAAAATGGCAAAATACATAATTTACCAAATATCAAAAAACGTGTTCTGCAGTTTACAAATTGGGCACGTGAACACTTTTAAAATTATTGTCAACAATACAGGAATAGCATAATCATGCTGAAAGGGAAAGGGGGAGGTTAAAGAGTAAAGGTGCTCATTCATCTTGTTTCTAATCTCTGCATGAAAGTATTTTATCACCTAAAAAATAATTAAATAAGAAATAAAATTCAAATTTATAAACAAATAAATAAAAAGGGGGGATCTAAATAAAACGTATTTTCTACATAATTTTCTTACATTAGTCCAGGTAATAGTTCTCTCTTGCCAGTTGGCTATTAATAATGGAATCTGAGACCCAAAGCAATATACTAGTAACTTGAAAGATATAAATTCAGGGGGGGGGGGGGCGTTAGGCCCAATTAATTGAAGGGAGACCAGAATTATTTTAATGCAGGATAGTTCTACAGTGGGTTGTCAATGAGAGAGAGTGATGTTCACGATGGATGGGTTGCTGAGGGTTTTGAGTAGGCTAGGAGTCCATGGTGGGTGGTTAAATTGAAGTTGCCTACCCCCACCAGGTGGCGGTGGGCACCTACGGTGCCCATGTGGCGAAATCGTCACCTTCAATTTAACCATTGAACTGTTGATTTTGTTGACTTTTTGTGGTTGATGTTGATATATGTGATGGTTGATGTTGATATATGTGATGTTGACTTTAAAAATTATATCTTATACAATTTAAAGCTAAAGCAAAATAATATAATTATAAAAGATAATTTGTGTTGAAATGTGTCCGTAGCACGAATGAGGTCAACCCAGCGTGCTACTTTTCCCGTCAGGGAGGGCACAACTTATGTTGATGTTGGGGGTATGCCATTTTGCCGGCTGCCCCACTGTTGTGTAGACCACTGTGGACAATACCTGCCAACTCGAATAAAACATTAAACTAAAATACGTAGCATTTGTTTATTATATACATAGGTCTTTGATAATA